GTTACAGAAAGCACATGTTTGACACATTGGCCACGATATTACCTAGCCTGGTACTGCTGATTTTTTGGACTCTGAAGTTCAGATCTGTAGCAGAACCCAATTAACCCTTAAAGAACTAAAATGGATTTTTAAATATATATGTTTAAAAATACATTAAAGGCCTGAAAGTGGCATTTAGACTTCACCTATAACACCATCTTGTCTTAAAATTTAACACTGGACCAAAATGGGTCACAGTTTTAAATTCAGTTTTAATCAGTTTTCTGTAAGGTGTCACAACACAGAAGCGTCCGTGGCATTTTATTGTCACTAAATTGAAAGGCTGAGTTGATTTTTATTTCTTGACATGTTTATGTCAGCTTTTGGATGCTAAATACACATGCAGGGGTTTGAAAGTCTGTGTAAAAGAAACCAGTTGTGCTGTGACCACCATAACTGATGAGTCGGTGACTGGCCCTTCCCGGTTTGATAAAATGAGCCTCACCATTTTGTCTTAAGATTTTAGATTGGGCAAATTTGCGTAACATTTTTAAATTCAATCTTAATTGGAAGTTGTTTATTTTGCAAGGTATCACAACACAAAAATGGCATTTGACTGTGTTCATTTGTTGAGATGGTTACCAGTGGCACACACACTGGACAAATGCTTTCGGCAATGCAAATTTCATTGGGTTTGTGATCTCCACCCTCACAAAATGGTCAGTCCACTCCAATAAAGTTAGCCACATTACATTTGGAGACCTGGATTTGGTTTACATCAACAAATTGTGAGAGATCAAAGAAAAAGTCAGACCTAGGCAGCCTATGGGAAAAGTCACATCACCTCTGTGAAAAAGCAGATCCAAACTGAATTTGATCTCCTTTCTGTTTACAGCTAGAGTCCTAGATTAAGCACTAGACAGCATCAAGCATAGTCTGACGCATGTGCTGATGCATCAGGCATAACAGGAGGCCATTGGAGATTAATCACGACCCTGGTCCAAATCTATTCATTTTGGGAACAGTCAGACACCAGCCATTTCCAATTTATAGGTGTTTCTCCAATACTGTGAAACCCAATTAAAACACCCTTCAATGTAACACTCTTCCTTATAAGACGCGTAGGCAATGGACTCCGACATTTGTGATTTCAGAGTGAAAATCGTTACCATGAGGATAGCATTAATAGATTTGGTAGCGCACCATGAGAATATTGCAGAGCACCAGCTAGTTATCTGCCCACATGAGTAGCGTCGACAAGTGACGTCACTGATACATCACAAAGTCAGATGTGTTGACCAGAGTGGCTATTTTATGTTCTCGCAGGAGGACATTTTCTGTATCCCAATGACCGCCTTAGAGAAGGGCACCTTGCAACCTATAGTTTCTGCAAAGGCCGTCTTATCTGGTTCTACTCATAGCTAACCTCAAGAGGTTGGTCTAAAACTTTAAAAGTGTCCGATTACTAAATTGCAATAAAACATATTCAGCATGGTGGCATCACAATGATATGAAAAGCATTTGTTCAAAGAAGTTAGAAAAATAATACAAATCCACAATATGGCTGCTGTAGCTGGTCAGATTCCTGATCTACCACCTGTGAGCTATAATGCTAGGATCATCTGTGATGTCCCCATGGTTAAACACTCACAATTTCAGTGCAGCCACTTGAGTGAGACATCCTAGAAACAGACAGCTTCTCCTTCCCAGGAGAGGAAAGGGTCAACACTCTCGCCTCTGAGTCAAAAGGTAGTGGGTTCAAATCCCACGTAAGGAATTGATCTCAAATAGTCAAGATGCCACTCCAATGTACTGCTGGAGGTGTGTTGCATTGACAGGGGTGTGGTCCTTCTGAGGTCTTGTCTGCCTGTTAAGGTGGATGTTAAAGATCCCATGGCACTATTCGAAAAGAGAAGGGAGTTTCCTGGCCAACAAGCCCCCAAATAAAATTAATCATTAATTGTGGAATATTGCTGTGCGCAATTGTGCTGCCACACATACAGTCACTTAATTTCACACCCATTCCTGTAAAGCACTTTGAGAATTCCTTCTGACGTGAAAAAGCACAAAGATTATTATTGTTCCTAATGCTTATACTTATTCACTTCTAATCCACATTTGATTCCTTAATTACCTTAGATGATAATTAAGGAACAGTACAGAAAATTATGTTAATATGTGTTCTTAAAATACCTCTTCCTAAGAAGTTAGGAACTGAGCAGTTCCCTTCACTTTGGGAGAATGCTTTTTTCCCAGAGCAGAAGCACATTTTAAAGCACGTTGTATTGTAATTTAGCGAGGAACCCAATTTATTCAACCATAGCCACTAGAAAGTATTTTTTATTAACTTTAACATTTTTTACTTTCAATGTTATTTTTAGGTCAGTTTCTTGCAAAGACGCATGATGTCCAATTGGTACAAACGCAGCCCAATAAAAGGCTTGGCTGGTTCTGTGCATGGTATTGAGAAAGCCTTTGAGAACTGCACTGTTTGACCCCATTGTTACTGCTGGAAGGGAGACATGCTTTTTGAGGTGAAGGAGGAGATTCTGCAGGCTTTTTTCTTGTGACAAATGGAACAGAAGTGATCAAGCTTTGGTTTATTTAAAGGAATCTTTTCTCTGTTAAGAGCAGAAAGAGTACGCAGACCAGTTGGGAGTTCTTTATTAATGGATATCTGAGCCAGCTCTATACATGATCTGGAGATAAGGAAGTGGTTAAGAACCACAAAGTGTACCACCAAAAAATTCTGAATGGAACTGCACAATAATAAGACAATGACCGAGAGGAAAGAGCGTATATGTGCATCAGTGCACAAACACAAAACATAGAGGAAAGTGTATGTGTTTGAGGTGATAGAAATCTTTTAAAAGTCACACGAAAAATGCAGGGGATGAGAGCTCCATTGAGGAATTGAGCACTTTTTTAAAAAAAGTAAAAGGACTTCAGGCAGGTAAATAGTCTAAACTTTCATCCTCACACACCCAGCAGGTACATTCCTGCAAGTGGTTGCAGTTAATCCTGTTAGCCTTATTTCTTAGGATTCCTTAATGCTGGTTTGGAAATCAGGCACTGACTGTTTCCATCAGCACCAGAGATTCCAGTGGAAATCTTCCTTGATATCTTTGCTGATTTTACACACAGCCCATGGTTTTAGATAACTTTTTTTTATTGAGCACTTAGTAATGGGGTATTTGGAGGACAAATACATTCATTAATCACGATGTAAGTAGACAGTCAATAAATAGATTGTAGTCAGCACTTCTGGTTAAAGCACTTCTGGGGCAGAATTTTACCTGAATCTAATACATTTTACCATGACATTTTAGATTGTGCAGAATTTGGCAAATTGTTAAATACAGCCTCAACCTTGAAGTTGTTTTTTATTGTAGTTCTTAAAATAACTTAAAATAATAGAAAATCAGTTTCAAAATTAAGACTCTATTTAAGAACTTGCCAAATTCTGGATGCTCTGAAATGCTATGTTGAGTAAATCTGTAGTCAGGTTGAAATGTTTCCCTTTGCATGGCCACCACTTGTTCCATGCTGAAGTAGCTGATCTCATCAGGGCAGTGGTTGGTGCACCTCAATATATCAGGTTAAGTAAAAATCAGAGTTCCTGCTCCTGATTGCTTTCCAGAGGTGCACGTGTGTGGGTACTGGGCAAGGGTGAGGCTCCACTATGTCTCCCCACCCCCCAATCCTTCAGTCAAATAGGCTGCCAAGACTCACTGTCAAAGCTTACGCACATGAAGAATGGTCACTTCAGAGAGATGTTGGAAGGTGCTAGGGAGCCTATAAAACTGGACCTCCTTAGGAGTCGCCAAATGTAAGCGTGGTGGAATGAAATAATTCAGCAATCAATAAAAAAAGGAAATGTGCATCTAGGATCACATTATGGCATCCATTTAATCAGCTCACCATAAACCTAAACCTAGTACAAATAAACCAGCAAGGGGAAACCAACTACATAAAAATGTGTTGATAGTACAAAGTGTGCTTGGACGGCCAATGAAGGTCAACAACTTGGAAAAAAAAATGTTCTTGGCTTAAGGAACAAAACAAATGAAAACCACAATCTAATGTCCATGACCTCACATGTGAGGGGAAAACTCTTTCAAGTTCAATACAACTAACAGCTTGTCTCTATTTAGCCTTGTTTTAGATCTAGTCTGCATCAGCATGCACGCTTTCCCCCCCTCCCCATTCTTTTGCCTTCAGTTACACTTGAGCTCTTTGACTCAAAAGGCCTGGAAGAGATTAAGAGTCCGACCGCAATGAAAGTCCTGGCACACACTCAAGTCTGTCTGGGATACTCTGGCAGAAATGCGCGCAGGCTCTGCATGAAGTGGGCCCACACAGGGAAAGCAGCAATAAAAGACACACATCAAGGTACTATAATGTAGCAATTCTCTAAAGCAAACAGACTCGGCCTTCAACAACTATAGAATCACTTTCTGGAAGCTATTCTTCCCATTGGCATTTAGATATTAAAGCTTCAGTTTTGTTTCGTCAGAGTCCTTGTTACACTTCAAGGCAACAAGGCACAGTGTGATTTACACTACACAGTGGCTACATTTTATTTTCAAATGAAAGAAGTCAATCGCATTGTGCTATCAAGAATGAAATGTGGGGGGGCACACTCATTTCTTTGGGATGGTCACCGGGTCATCTGAGACTGACAAGGTAGATTAGAGGGATAGACTATATTGCTGTTGTGGCATTAGCCTCAAGCAGCCCTTGGCAATCAAAGAGTTAACATCGCTTTCCTCTTTGGGGCCCACAGTGGTTGTTAGGTCAACACTTGTAAAGCTTCAAAGAGTTTATGTCCTCCCAGCCTGACCTGCTCAGTGATCTGCACACTGTTTTGATTTAGCTCCCGCCAGTCAGAGACTAGCACAACAAAATGCAGCAATCTACGAAGTTTAAAAAACTTCCACGAAGTGTACTGCAAAGTCTGCTTGGAAAGCTAAGAAGCAAGCAAGCTAAGAAGCATTACCTCTGAGCAAAAGCTCACTTACCAAAGCGAGGATCAAGCCTTGGGTCCAACCAAGAGGTGGTCTTGTTCTTGTGGTTTATGTAGTAAATCTCCCCATCAGGGGTCATGCCTTGCTCCCAGCCATCGGGAAATGGGCCTGAACATAAAGGAAAGGAATTTATGATGGGCTGCTAAACAGGCTGAAATACTGCAAGCTCAACAATTACATGACAACCGTCAGAAAACCGTGTAGAAAAACAAAAAAAAAATCCTCCCAAAGAATTAAAAGTAAATTTGTTTTTGAGCACAAAAGGCAAGATCCAAAATAAGGAGACCAATAGTTGCTACATAAAATCGTCGAACACGTGTTTATTTATGGAAAGGTCATGCCAGTAACATCTGAACAATACAGTGCAGGCTACCACAGTACAATCGTGTTGGAATGAATCCACGTAGAGTTTTCAGACCTGCAGTGCTCTATTCAGATGCAGAGTGAATGAGCACACTGGACTGGACTTAATTTGGCTTTGCATCCCCCCCCCACCCACCCCCCTTTCTCATTTATTCTGCAATGGGAAATTTAGCGAGAGAGGTAATGACTGTGCAGTGCGTATGTGCCAGCATTCGAGGGGAATAGAAAGAAACAAGGAAACATGTAAACAGAAACTAAACCCAAATTATAATGGGAGACTACAAGATCTTATGGTCAAAAGGGCTTTTTTAAAAAAAAATAATGCTGGTAGCAAGGCACATTATGGGTTAGTGTCAGAGTAGCAGATGGAGGATTTTCCATATAATGATTTCTGATCCTGGCTGAGCATTCAGTTGAGCTGCTGAACTCAGTTCAAGGCTTGGATAAATTGATTGTCTAAACTAACAATTGGGAAATGGCTGAGTTCTATGTTTTTTTTCCTTTCAGAAAGGAAATGTGAGCCCTGAAATTCCACCAAGTTTCAGCCTGTAAAACCATTTTGTCTTAAAATTTAACCCTGCACGGCATGGCGAAAAATTCCCAAAACAATTTTTAATTTGTAAGTTTATACTTTTAAAGGCCCTGCAGTGAACCGCTTTCCAAGTATAAGACAGAATTTAAGAATTTGAAAATTCTGCACAATCTTAAAAGTTTGAGACAAAAGGGTCCTACAGGCTGAGACTAGGTGGACTCTGGGGGCGACAGTTGTTTTACAAAAATAAAATTTTGTCTTTGTTAAGTAGAGTGTGCTGCTGGGACATGAAACTGATCGCAGGACAAAAGTCTGTTTAAAACAGTCAACACTGAACTTTGTCAGGTAAAGGTGGCAAGGTCACCGAGGAAAGTTCTGTTGATCATAGTTCCTGGTCAAACATAGTGCAGAAAGGGCTGCCTTAAAATGATTGCCCCAATAGTCCAGGGGATTTATTCAGTGAGAAGCTGAATCACACACACTCAGGTTTAGACCTGTTGTCCTCTTGAGTTAGTTGGAGCAGCGTCGGGGTTCTTCAGTTGGTCTCAGTACCTTGAGTTAGATAGGAAAAATATCAGGCAGGATTCCAACTGCTGATCACTATCCATTGCCCCTTTCTGGAGGTGCAAAGTGTGTACTTTGGGTGAGGACAATAACAGCTTCACGTGTCCTCAATGATTGACTGAATAGTCTGCATACCCTCACTATGCATACCCTCACTGCTATGGATTACACATGAACTGTGGTCACTTGGACAAGGAGAGCAAGCCAATACTCCAGTGGAAATGTACATCAAAAGGAGTAAAAAAAGGACTCAAGTGTTTTCTGAAGGAGAAAAGAACTGGAGGGACAACAACCAACAATTTACATTTATATAGCACCTTTCACAACGGAAGGATGTCTCAAAATGCAAGAAAAAAATAAGATTGCTTAAGTGGAATTTGGTCAACTTCAATCAAAAGCAACTTCTAAAATTGCAGGAAAAAAATCCTTAAAGACTGTTCTCCTGAAGATGAATTTGCAGCAGAACTTCCTATCCCATAATCACAATTATTAAGTCAATAAAAAGGCTGAGTGATGCCTGCCTCGTTTAAGCAACACTTACTATAATAAGCAATAACACTCAGAATATAGAACAGAAGCAAATCGATTTTCAACTCTTCTTTCAAGCATTTAATGAATTGTTTAGCTATAACTTTAAAAAAAAGTGGAGAGATTCAACTTTGCAATCTGATATACACTCTGTAAACATAGGATCTGTTATATTCTGGAGAGAATTCTGATTGGGTCTAGACTTTTTCCTTGGCACTTCAGAGTGCACAAAGTTTCGACAAGTTTTAAAATCAGTCTTAATTTTGAAGCCAGTTTCTGTAGCTTGTTTTAAGAACTGCAGAAAACCAGCTTTAAAATTAAGAGGGAATTTAACTATTGTCCAATATTTGTTTGCTATCAAATGCTAAGTAAAAAGCCCAAGTCTAGATCCAGGTGGAATTGTCGTCCGTCCATTCCCCCCTTCATTTCCTTTGGAATTAAAACCATGTTCACGGAGGTAGAGGAAAGAACAGAGTGAACTGGGGATTGGCCTTGCACAAGGGTTTGCTTGAAGAGGAACTCACTCTGTAAACACAGGATGTGACATTGCGTTGTCTACTCACCATCACTTTGGACACGTAAATGCAAGGAAATACTCAAAAAAGTTAATGTTGAGTCCTGCCTGATTTGAAAGTGCTGCACTGGTTCCAGATTGCGTCAGGTAACTGGCTGCAGGGAATCCTGTTCAGGAAACGATTAGGACGATTTTCCCCATTATTCATCTAAAGCAAATTTGTTTATAAACCCTTTGTCCAATTCCCTCCCCCACCCCCAATCTGCACATAAAAATGGTTCAACCTTCCTCCTTCCCTGTGGGAAACACCTGGCCTTCTCCCGGGAACAAAGCACAAGGCTGGAACTCGGTGCAGAGAGGATGTGAGCCAAGGAGTTACAAGCTGCTCATCTGGTGCAGAAAACTGAACATCTACAAGGCAGAAGCCATTCTCCTCCCTCCTCCCCCCACATACAAACACATACCTCCTTGCTTCTTGCTCTGACTTCTTCAACCTTCCCAGCCTCTCTCTCTCCAAACTCATTGAACCGCAATGCACAACCTTGGCATTTAGCTCAAACCCAGCACTCTTTTCTCGCTCACATCTGGTCCCTGACTTCTCTGTATCCTTACCATATCATCCACCGCTGTCCCTACCTAGCTCATGTTGAATGCTGCCTAAACTGTCATTCAGATTTTCATCACCTCCAGACTTGACTTCCCAAATTCTCTCCTCGACGGTCTCCCCAGCTCCAACAGCCACTGGCCTCAGATCATCTCAAACTCTACGAAATGCTTTGAGACATTTCAACATGATAAGCAATAAATGCTACATCAAATGCATTTATTATTATATCTGTGAGACTGTATACACGAACTTCTCAATTCTAGCCTTTTTTTTGGGTATCAATTGTGCTTAATATTTATTCCTCCCTCCGAATGCCTTCAATCTTCTCCTGAAAACAGTGACTTATGATTGAATAGGCAGCTGAAATAGTAAATATGATGTGTAATGCGAGTACAAAACACCTTAGCAAAATGATGAATCTTCACATAGGCACGAAGACAGTAACTGCTGGCGAAGTTAACAGTGGGAAGGGTTGTAGGGTGAGGAAAAGATATTAGTCGAGCTGTATCTTGTTCTGGTACCTGCTCCATTCATGGCCTTGTCCATACATTTCAGCAATAGACACTGTTCACGATCCAGAGTGTGACCTGATTTCTTCCCTATAGCTGAGCAACACTGAAGCCAATTGCAGAGTCCTTACCTTTACCTGCTCGAGATCAGCTAATTCAATAATTCATTTAAAGACTGAACCTAAAGCTTTCTCTGTCTATCTCTCAGTCTCACATTGCACATCATATTTACTAACTCAAGGCATTAGGGAACACCTTTTTCTTAAAAAAAACAATAATCAGAACTCAAAAATGCAGTGTTCTAGGTACAGTATATCCTGATGTTATGTAATATATATCTACAAGCTTTCCCAACTTGCAAATGCTGTATATCCCTCAATTTGATTGTAGCTTGTAGTCCAGGCGGTGTTCAAATCACTATACGGTTACTTCAAAGTACAAAAATACCAAAGCCTCAACTCCACCTAATATTTACTAAAACATACAGTTCGACAATTTGTAGTCTAACAACAAAGTCATCACAAGCATTTACACACAAAGTTCTGTTCAAAATCTCTTTTGACGAACTTCAATACAATAATAATAATAATAATCCTTGCATTTGATATAGCGCTTTTCACGTCGGGAGGACGTCCCAAAGCGCTTCACAGAATATAAGATAAAGTGAATTGACTGTATATTTGTGGGCGAACGCGGCAGCCAATTGTGCAGAGCAATGGCCCACAAACAGTCGTAGATTGAAAATGACCAATTTATTATTGTTTTTTATTTTGGAGGGATTATTATTAGGCGTGTGGAATAAGGAAACTTGCCCAAGGTTTCGCCCTGTCTGGAATTGAACTCAGGTCTCTCGCTTGCAAAGCGAGTGCTCTAACCACTGAGCTACAGGACTCCAATGAAAAATGACTACCCGGCATAGGATGTGGCCAATGATGATTTTACCATTGAAAAGGTTCAACAGGTCGGATCTTAACCTATGAAAAATGTTACCCTTTCTTGAAGATTAATCAATTACTGACTGCATTCCATTCCTCATGAATTAACAAAACACAGATTTACAAATATCTCTGTATTGAAATAAAAGTATTCTCACTTGACACTCAGCCTCTTCCCTCTCGGAGAAGGATTCAACACAAGGTTATAAAAGCCTGTGAAAGGTAAAACTATCGCCTTCCTTGTGCAAGCTCCAGAAAAGTCACCTTTTCTGCCGCAAACTCAATTCCCACCGCGTCACATTTACTCAGGGGGAGTCTAGGGTAGAAGGATTGGGGGGGTGGAGTCTAGGTCAGAATTTGGCTGACTTGCCTCAACCCCTCTGCCACACCACCAGTCAGTCAGTAGGTGGTTGTGGGCATTTGAAAACGGCAGCGTGATCGAGAACAAGTACATGTAAGTCGTCAACAACAACAACAAATTGCATTTATATAGCGCCTTTCAAGTCAGTCAATCTGGGTTGATTTTGGACAACCTCAAAGTGGGTTGGGAGGGGGTGGGGGGGTTGATCATGAGCCCTCTGCCCCACCCCCCACCCACTGACTCCCCCACTACATTTATTGGTTAGACATCAGTTTGAGCCAGAGATCTTATTGTAGCCTCAGCATGACATAAAGCAGATTCCCTGCAGTAAATGGACCTTTTGCTGTGAGGTGCTTTTCTTTTGGTGGCAGGCTTTTGATTTGCCATTTTTAAACCCCATTTTCTGAGGGCAGGGATTCTCCTTCCCACCTCCCTGGCTCCTGTTTATCCATGACAAAGCTCTAATAGGTAGGGGGGTCCTAGCTGGACTAGCATCAGGAAGCTTTTCCATGAGTAGGTGGTATATATATGTAGAATTCAGTGTGGCTACTCTTAAGCACTCTGCTGTGCGCAATTGGCTTACGTGTTTCACCCACAAAACATAGTCAATAAATAATAATAATACTCTTAAGGTTTCTGCATGTGTCAAGACACCCAGATGAACAAAATAAATTTCTTTCACCAAAAACTGTGACAATGTGTCCCAAAAAGAATCCCATCAAGATTTTTGAAAGGTAGATAAATAGAGAGGATATAAGGGTACATAAGGTATATGGAGAAAAACAAGGAAATGGAATTACAGTATAAAATCTGCCAAGATCTATTAAAATAGTGGAACTGGCTCAATGGACCAAATCGTTCCTTGTCCATAAGCCACCATCAAAAGAATACTGGGATTTAACTTTTTTTTAAAAAAAGTGGTCAATTTTACGGATTAGAATATTTGGGCTAGAGCCAAATATCAAATAGTTATTTTGTAACTAAAAACAAGGTAAAAGGTTGATATTATAGCATTCAATAAACCATATTGCACAAAAAACTCTCAAGGTGCAATTTTTCCAGTGAAAATCAGCTTTGTTTTGCAACCCATATTATTTACGTGGAGTCCTGGACCGTAGTGGTTAGAGCACTCATCTCACAAACGAGAGACCTGGGTTTGATTCCCGGCAGGGTGAAATGTTGGGCAGGTTTCCTTACTCCACACGCCTCTGTTTACCTAGCAGTAAGTAGGAACCCAGTTGTTAATCGATTGGCGGATCGCTTTTCTGAGGATAATAATTCCTTCAAAAAAAATCATAATAATAATTTGGTCACTCAGTGCACAACTGTTTGTGGGACACTGCTGGGCTCAATTGGCTGCCATGTTTCGCCCACAAAATACACAGTCAATTAATAATAATAATCTTTGCATTTGATACAGCATCTTATCACATCTTCGAGACGTCTCAAAGTGCTTCACAGAATATTTTGTAAAGTGAATTGACTGTAGAGCTTAAGACTAACTTTGCAGTATATTCTGTGAAGTGATTTAAGATGTCTCGAAGACGTGATAAGGTGCTATATCAAATGCAAGGATTATTATTATTACCTCAGAAGTGCTGATTGAGGATTCATTATATCAATTGTGGTTCCTATTTTTGTTCTTTACACTCCTCCGGTACAATTCTGCGACAATTATATCAATGCACTGCTCCAATAAAAAAATCACAAATTGGGAGGTCATTTGTAAAAGTTTTCACAAGTAGAAAATGCTGCACATACCCAGACCTTAGAACTCTGCTCAAAAGATGATCTGTTACCACGGTTTTCCATTGGCTATCAACCAACTTCAACGAAAAGCCGGAAATATGATTCAATATACACTTATCTGGTGCCTTTCACATCAGGAAGGTGTCTTAAAGCACTTCACAATGCCACCTGAGCACACAAACTGGGATGTGTGAGAGAGAGGTGGGAGCAGAGGAATGGGGTGTGGAGAGGAATGATGACTCAAAGCGCGGTCAAAGAATTATGTTTTGAGTTGAACCTTGAATGTGGAGAGTGAGGGAGCAAAGCCAGGGGACTCCAGGATGGAGTTCCAGAGAGTGGGGCAGGATGGCTGAAAGTCCTTTCATCAACAGCGGGGCCAATGTTCAGTAGAGTTCTGGTGGGTCAGAGTGAGACACTACAGGATTCAATATTTGCAAATCCTTTTATGAATCATGCAAGTTAGACCCTCTCAATCCCATTGTCAAGGAGGATGGGTTTGCCTGTGCTTTCTCTCCCCCTCACCCGAAATTGATCCCCCTTACCTGAAGGTGTGGTGTTCATTAGGTTCTGCTGCACAGACACGGGGCTGGCGGGCACAGACACAGACACGGGCATGGTTTTCCTGGGGTCTTGCCATGTTGTCGTCTGATCAACGTGACTAAAAAGAAAAAGAATCGTCAGGCAAAACAAAATCAGTGCCTCCATCAAGAGCTGCCACTAAAGTCTTTATACGATAGGTAGATTTATCTGCACCATCGAAAACAACCATCATTTTCTACCCAACAATAACCCCACTGTGTGCATGCATGCGCCTGTCTGTCTGCGTGCGTGCCCTGCTTTTGTGCACATATTGCACATCATGTAGAAATTAACTGGCGATGGTTAGAAAAATTAAAATTCAGCTCAATGTAATATAATCCTTGCATTTCATCTCTTGCCTTATCATGTTGGAACGACGTCTCAAATCTTTTCACAGGAATTACTGTGAAATGGGAGTGACGGTGTACGTTGCAGCACAAATATAGTTGATTTTTCACTTGGATTAACTCCATTCACTGGGTTTACTTGTGTACTGAAAGAAAAAGTACTCAGACCACCATGCACTTTACTGGATCAGCAGCATCTAAACACGTGATGTGAACTACAGAGAGGGTGACTGCAGCCCACTGCCGACGACGTCATCGCATGTAGGAACCCAGGAGAAGCCAGGGCAACAACAAAATAAAGATGGCAGGAGGCCAGAGAGCAGCAGACGTGTTAAGGTGTTGGACAACAGGGCACTGTTCTCTAGTCTCCAACACACATAACAATTCCATGCATTAAATGAGGGCCAGACCCAAGTCAATGCTTCTCCATTGTACCACCTAATCTGCTGCTGCACGGCAGTAAAGCCAGAGGGGAAAGCAGCACAAGTGTAGAATAAATGTAGCGATGGTGGGGAGAGAGGACATTGTGACATCTCCATCTCCTCCCACCTCATGAATTCTCTTCATAGATTATCTAATATAAATATCCTAAACTCTGACAGAAGTGGTATATACTGTGTTATTTATTCTACGGCTATTGCAAAACCAGTTACTCTTGAAATGCAGTGCCCCTCCATTTAGCCAACAGGTAAAATGAGCAGTTTTAGTTCCCACAGGAACTTTCACTCTTGAGAAAATCAAGACTGATGATTCAGTCACAAAAAATTAACCCAAACTGGCTGGAACACCTGGATGGTGGCACCTCATTTTAGGTTACAACAACTACTTGTATTTATATAGTGCCCTCCACGCTGGATGGCGTTCCAGAGGTCTTAATAAAGGCAGAGACGGATGCCGAGCCAGGGGGAGCGGGAAAGGTAGACCATAGGCACAGTTGAGGAGGAAGGTCTTCAGGCGCAACCTGAAAATGGGGAAAGAGGGGCAAGATGAGACAATTGAGGGAGAGAGTTCCATAGCTTTGGTGCACAGCTGACAATGTTCGAGCGGAGGATTCGAGGGACAAAGAGGAGGCCGGAGCCAGTAGAGCGGAGGCAGCAGGTACTGCTGTCGGGAGAGAGGAGGTTGGAGAGATAGGGGTTGCCAAGGAATGGAGGGATTTAAACGCTAGAGTGAGGATCTTGAAGTCGACCCACTCTGTGACAGGGAGCCAGTGGAGTTTGGCAAGGACTGGAGTAATCGGACTGCGGAGTTTAGTGCGGGTGAGAATGCGGGCGGCGGAATTTTGGATGAGTTGAATTTTGTTAATCGTGAAGGATGGGAGACCGGCGAGGAGGGCGTTAGAGTATCCAGCCAAGAGGTGACGAAGGCATGGACAAGGGTTTGGGTAATTTGTGGAGTGAGGTATTGTCGGAGATGGGCAATGTGGTGGAGGTGGAGGAAAGCAATCCTGGTCAGGGACTGGATGTGGGGGAGGAAGGATAACTGGGGATCGGACCTGACGCCTAAGTTGCGCACGGGTTCAGAGAGTTTTGAAGGACAGATCGGGTAGTTTAGGAGGTCTAAACCCCAGGACATAAGACATCAATGGGAGCCAAAGAGTATGGCTTCCTCTTGTTGACAGGTTACTGCTTCACATGCAGTGGGGAACCTCGTAGACCTGGCGTATGTAGCTATACTTTATGCACAGCGTGCACAATGAATATTAGTGGCAATATTGAGTATTGTCAAGTACCAGCGCAGAGTCACTTGGGGTTAAAATTCCTGGGAATGGCGGGGGTAGGGGTGTAGTAAAGTTGCCAGTGCACTTCCAACGAGGAAACTGCATTATAAGCAAACACTGCTGACTTCAGTAACTGTACCACTAGTGGCGACATGTACCACACTTGTCCATATGGGCACCACTAGCAGGTTTATTAGATAGCAATTGCTGATTATGCTCTTCCACTGCCACTAACACTTCACTCTCGAGCTCAAAAGAATGGAGAACAATTTTGCTGTTTCCTTGCCACTAGAAACGAGTTTAGACATGGGATTAAACATTGAACTTTCTGGTTTGTATGATTCACTATCATTAACCCACAGAGCAATTGGAACATTTTGAACATCATGTATTTTAAATGACATCATCTCAATTCATATAAACAACCACGCGCATTTGATTATCTAAGAAAACTCAGAAACCAAGATTTGAATCTCAGCCTATGGCATTTGCATTTATTCTTCCCCGAGGAGGTGACTTTTTCCAGTCTCGGTTGGTTAATCTGGGCAAGATAAATGAAAGGAAAACTAGCTGCAGAAGATTCCCTTCCCTCATCACTTAACCATTTCTCTTGGCAAGTGGTTTGAGGAAAACGACTACACTATTATTTAGCTAGCAGGGAGAAGTGAAGTTAAAGAAAAGGAATGGTATTTGATTGATGCTAACCTCACATTGGTTTGAACTGCTATGCAATATGTTAGTCAAGGAAGAGGAAGCAGAGTTTACACCACAAATAACTGTGATACGTAATATTATTAGATGGTAAGTTAACTGTGATTATCAAATTGCTGTTAGCTTATGCACTTATACATTAGAAGGTTTATGTGTTTAAAAGTTTTTTTTCGCTGATTATACACTACAATAGCTGGTGCTCACTTTTGAATAGATCTCTTCCCCCACCTCCTTCCCAGTGACATTATGAATGGGGGAAAAGTTCTTATGGCCCACCCCCATTCCCATTCATGTTGTAACATGGGGTTTGTTCACACAAAGAGGCTGCTGCCAGCCTGCCTGGAACTAACAGCTACAAAGCACAGGCTCTCTTTATCAGACTTGGGATTAGAAGAAAGTTCAGAAGCACATATTTTCCCTTGATGCAAATCAATGAATATGTTTAACATTTAAAAATGTCAACAAACCAATTCATTGTTAAATATTCAGAATTGTACAAGATCAAAACATATGCGCAGCCCACCACTGGAAATACATTTTACAAATAAAAAAAACATACAAGGGTTTACCGTGTATTTTGCACTTATAATCAGTTTCATCTCCAGACTTAATAGTTCCAACTGCACTAATAAAATTATTCTTTTCTCAGGCTGGATCGTTACACAAGAATCGGCCAACTCATTAGAAATAAAAGTAAAATCTGCAGACTCTGAAAAGCTGAAACTAACATGGGAACACTGGAAATTTACAACAGATCAATCATCACTTGAAAGAGAGGAAGATGAGTTAATGTTTTGGGCATCGCCCTGAATAAGAGCAGAAACACTGATCTGAGAAAACTCTTCTTCAGTATTGAAGGTTTTTCGGGTTTTTAATTGATTTTCATTGCTACACAGTGCTACCCGTTTTATTGGATGAAAGTCAATAAATAAAAAAACAATTTTCACATTTAAAAAAGGAATTTGCCCATTCTATTTGGCCATGGTGATGCGCATACATCCTGAAACTTGCCTTGCTGTGTTGCTGGTTCTGGGAATGCACAAATATTGCATTGCATGGTAGGGAGATACTTACTTCTCTTTCCGAAATGTGCTTTACAAGCTTTAACATCCACCCAGACAGGACCTCAGTTTAACAGCTCATCTGAAGGTCGGAACCTCTGGCAGTTCAGCACTCCCCACACTACATCGGAGTGTAAACTCAGCTATATGCCTCTGAAGTTAATATATGAATAGCATGTCTAATAATAATCTTTGCATTTGATTAAGTGCCTTTGACATCAAATTGTCTCAAAGCTCTTCACACGTAAGTGTTGGGACTATGTATATTTTTCTAAACAAATATCCTCCTGAAGGAGAGCTAAGTGAAGTCTCCCTGGGGCTAAATTGGTTCTTATCAGAAGCTCCTGGCAAAGCTAGCCAGGTCTCGCAGTAAATCAAAGGCATGGCTGAAGGCTGACCAACACGTCTGGCACATCAATGAGATGAGCAAGTCTAAGCCTTAACATAATGGTCCTAGCTGGGCAAGCACTGTGCAACCAATATGTGTAATTACTTTTGAATGAATGGAGGCAGCAATTTTGACCCAACTAAAAGGGGATAGATGAAAAGCCAAACAGTGTAAACAGTTTGTGTCAAAATCCCATCTGAATAACACACATGGTGACAAATACCTATTTGGAATAATGAGAAAATGTTAAGTACTCAAAAGTAAAAATGCACATATGGATTCCCTTAACTTGAAAGACAATGAAGGCTGCAGAAAGAATACAGCTACAATTGGTCCAAAGGACGATCTCTGCATTGCCACCCAAAGCCCTTCTCAGTAATAACAGTTAAGTTTAACAACTTTTTTTGCAGGCAAATACAGCAGCCATTTCGCACACAACATGGCTCCTTAAACAGCCGTGAGGTGAATGATGAATTGAACAAAATAATTGCTGGACAAGACATTGGGAGAAACTCCCTTTTCTTTCCACATAGTCATGGGATCTTCACGTTCACCTGAAGAACAAGCAGATGGGAACCGAGTTTAACATCTCATTCAAAGGAGAGCACGATCAACAAATCAAAACAAGTGCCAACTTGTATGAGTAGACGTCCTGACACAGGATTTGAAGCCACAATCTTCTGATAGAGGCAAGAATACTAACTATATTAAGTATAGTGAAAAGGGATTGTTTCCTCAATTTAGCTGCATCTCAGGATACAAAAGCCAGTAACCACCATTTACTCCTCCCTACTGTGATGCCAATCGATCAGTCTGCTTCAGATCAAGTATCCTTCTCTCCCTTCAAAGCCC